TGACAAGGTGGTTGAAAGCACGTGCTCAACCCCACTCACCGGTACAAGTGTTCACGCTCTGAGTGAAGCCCCTAGCCCTGCTCGGTCTAGTACGGCCTTATCATGTAGATCTACAGCGTCCACAGATGCGGAACAGGCCTGCACCGCTGACAGGGCTGAGATGGCCCAGCTCCGAGCTGAACTCGCCAAGCTGACGTCCGCTGTGAATGTGATGACCCGTGACACCGGTGCCCCTTGCCAGCGTGGCCGCCAACGAGAGCGTAGTCCCGGGCCACCGTCACGCCACCCAAGTGCCTCCAGGTCTCCCGGCCGTGACAATCACGACGACCTTTGCTGGTATCACCGTGCGTTCGGTGCGAAGGCGAACAAATGCCGAGACCCCTGCCGATTCCTGTCGGGAAACGGGAAGGCCAGCCACTAGTCGCGACCGCTAGTGTGGTTGGCCCCTCGAATACCGCTACCGGTCGCCTACTATTCGTCAAGGATCGCTCCCAGTCCGTCGAGTTCCTTGTCGACACCGGCGCCGCCGTCAGTGTTCTTCCTCCGTCATTCGTAACTCTGTCTCGTCGTGTTCATCGCAATAGTCCTCGTCTCCGTGCAGCGAATCAGAGCAGCATCGCCACGTACGGTCAGCAGCTGCTAGATTTAGACTTAGGTCTCCGACGCACTTTCAAATGGGTCTTCGTCGTTGCTGACGTCAGCTATCCGATCCTGGGTGCGGATTTCCTTGGCCACTTCCAACTCACTGTCGACCTGGCCGCCAGATGTCTCCGGGACTCCACTACTCAACTTGCCGTTGTCGGATTCGCCTCGGATGTCAGCACCTCCGCTACCAACCTGCTGGACACTGACAGCCCTAGTGAGTATTCTGCCCTGCTGAGTGAGTTTCCTGACCTTGTCCGACCGACCACTGGTGACTCGCCTGTCAAGCACAATGTGACGCACCGCATAGTCACAGATGGCCACCCCGTCCACGCTAAGCCTCGCCGTCTGGCACCCGACCGCCTTGCTGTCGCTAAGTGTGAGTTCCAACACATGTTAGATTTAGGCATTATTCGTCCCTCCTCTAGTGCATGGTCATCCCCCCTGCATATGGTGCCAAAGAAATCCGGTGACTGGCGACCCTGTGGTGATTACCGAGCCTTGAATGACTGCACGATCCCCGACCGCTATCCCATCCCGCATATTCAAGACTTTACGTCCCACCTGCATGACAAGATCATATTCTCTAAGATTGACCTCGTCCGTGCATACCACCACATTCCTGTGCACCCTGACGACATCCCGAAAACTGCCATCACCACCCCCTTTGGACTGTTTGAGTTTGTCCGCATGCCCTTTGGCCTTCGCAACGCAGCCCAGACATTCCAACGCTTCATTGACCAGGTAGTTTCAGACCTTCCCTTCTGCTTTGCATATCTGGATGACTTGCTCATTGCTAGCGCCTCACCCGCTGAACATATGGCCCACCTTCGCTGCATATTCTCCCGCCTTGCTTCACATGGCATCTTGATCAACGTCCGGAAGTCGCAGTTCGGCCAGGATGAGCTTGACTTTCTGGGACATCACGTGACTGCCTCAGGTATCCGACCTCTCGACGCTCGCATGACCGCCATTCGTGAATTCCCACAGCCAGCTAGTGTTCGTAAGCTCCGTGAGTTCATCGGCTTCGTCACGTTCTATCACCGATTTCAGCCACATCTTGCTGCTAAGCTCGCACCTCTGCACGCTATGCTTGAGAAACGCCACCGCACCAAAGGCGCGCTCGTCTGGTCCGACTCGGCCCTCGCTGCTTTCAATGATGTCAAAGCTGCGTTCACTGATGCCATCACACTTCACCATCCTCGCCCGGATGCCGCCTACAGCTTGATGGTCGACGCTTCAGACATTGCTGTTGGTGCCGTCCTCCAACAAGAGCTAGATGGTGAGTGTTACCCTGTTGCCTTCTTTTCACGCAAGTTAAAGCCTGCAGAGACACGCTACAGCACCTTCTGTCGAGAGCTCCTCGCTATTTACCTAGCCATTAAGCATTTCCGACACTTCCTGGAAGGGCGTGTCTTCCATGTGTGCACCGATCACAAGCCTCTGACACATGCCATCCACAGCCGTTCACAGACCCACAGCCCGCGTCAACAGCGCCATTTGTCGTACATTGCTGAGTTCACGACAGATATTCGTCATGTCAAGGGTTCTCAGAATGCTGCCGCTGATGCACTGTCACGATGCCACCTACCCGATGAGCCCGTTTCTGCCATCACTGCCATTGACACAGCTTCCTTTGCCGCCGCTCAACAAGATGATCCAGACTTGCCCAGTCCTGGTAAGGATCCATCCACTTCGCTATGCTGGCAATCTATAGCTCTGCCCATGACTGATCACTCGCTCATCTGTGACACCTCTACTGCGTCTGCCCGCCCGTATGTACCTGCCAAGCTGCGCCGTGCTGTTTTCAATTCGCTTCACGGCCTCTCCCACCCTGGTACCCGCGCTACCAGGCACCTGATTACAGCTCGCTACGTCTGGCCCGCAATGAACAAGGATATTAGTGAGTGGTGTCGTACCTGCCACGCTTGTCAGCAGTCTAAAGTTCAACGCCACACCACATCTCCCGTAAGTGCATTCAAGCAACCTGATGCCCGTTTCTCCCATGTCCATGTCGACATCGTAGGCCCGCTTCCATCTTCTAGTGAGTCTCGCTACCTCTTGACGATGGTAGATCGCTTTACTCGCTGGCCCGAAGCAGTACCTATTCCCGACATTACAGCCGAAACCGTCGCTCGCCAGTTTGTTGCCACCTGGGTCGCCCGATTTGGTGTTCCCACTGTGCTCACAACCGACCGAGGTGCCCAATTTGAGTCATCCCTGTGGTCATCGCTCATGTCACTACTTGGCACGTCTCGCATTCGTACAACGGCTTACCACCCTGCTGCCAACGGCATGGTAGAGCGCTTTCACAGACAACTGAAAGCTGCACTCCGAGCTTCCGACAATCCACAGCGCTGGACGGAACATCTGCCACTAGTCCTGCTCGGCATTCGCTCCTCCCTGAAGGCTGACCTCAACTGCTCAGTTGCAGAAATGGTCTACGGTTGCCACCTCCGCCTGCCAAGTGATTTCCTCACTGACGAGCCTGAGCCATTTCCGGATCCGACGTCCTATGTCAGCCGCCTCAAACAAGCCATGTCCGAGCTCCGCCCTACACAACCCCGCAAGCCACCCACCCAGCATCCGTTCATTCCAGCTGACCTCTCGACATGCTCTCATGTCTTCATTCGCACAGATGCAACACGAACGCCCCTCCAACGTCCTTACACTGGTCCACACCGAGTCCTGGAACGTCATGATAAGTACTTCCGCCTCGACCTCAACGGCCGCTCCGACACAGTATCCATCGACCGACTCAAACCCGCATTCCATGACAACCAGTCTGTCGACCATTGCCATCCGACCAAGCCGACGCCATCGCTCGCATTCGACGTGCCTCCGCCACGCCAAACACGAGCTGGTCGTCAAGTCAGATTTCCCGCCTATTTCTGACACTCTCTCGCTTATCCCATTTGCTTGCTCTCACTTTATCGCGCTAGTTATCGCTCATTACTCATTCACTAGGAGGGGAGCTCTGTAGCGTCTCTGACGTTCTCGCATCATGATATCATCATTTGTTTGCATGTACACGTCATATTTTCCTCATCATCACAAACACTGATTCACCATACTCTCGCACACATTGTAATACCTACTACACGTACTTCGCTACCATAATCATTACGTAATGTTTGGCTAGCATAGTTCCAATACACATTACGACATCTTTTGATGTTACGCACTCCTCGCCTACAACGCTATTGTAGAAAAGTAGTCTTTACTCATCTCTTGTAAGTTCTGTT